AAAAAAATTCAGCCGGGTGCGGTGGCTCATGCCCGTAATCCCAGCATTTTGGGAGGATGGAGCAGGTGGATCACGAGGTCAAGAGATCGAGACCATCCTGGTCAACATGGTGAAACCCCGTCTCTATTAAAAATACAGAAAACTAGCTGGGCATGGTGGCGCACGCCTGTAATCCCAGCTACTCAGGAGGCTGAGGCGGGAGAATTGCCTGAACCTGGAAGGCGGAGGTTGCGGTGAGCCAAGATCACGCCACTGCACTCCAGTCTGAGTAACAAGAGCGAAACTCTGTCTCAAAAAACAAAAAAAAGAAGAAGTAAAAAAATTCATGGCTGGTCGTGGTGGCTCATGCCTGTAATCCCAGCACTTTGGGAGGCCAAGGTGGGCAGATTACAAGGTCAAGAGATCGAGACCATCCTGGCCAACATGGTGAAACCCCATCCCTACTAAAAATACAAAAATTAGCTGGGTGTGGAGGTGCATACCTATAGGCAGGAGAATCGTTTGAACCCGGGAGGTGGAGGTTGCAGTGAAGCTAGATTGCACCACTGCACTCCAGCCTGGTAACAGAGCGAGACACTGTCTCAAAAAAAAAAAAAAATCAATCTTATATAAACAAAGAAATATGAATGTGATTTTCTTTTAACATCATAAAAGCAACTGAGTAAACGTCTAGTTTTAAGTACAGAGTCAGGAAAAACGATTAAAAAGTAAGGAGTTACCTGGTCCAATTTACGTTTCAATGTGGATACTTCCTTGGGGTTAGAGAAAGTGATATCCAATCCAGGTGAGATTGCATAGATGAACTCTATCTCATATTCTCGTGCAGCAGAGATGAGAGTCATAAGTTGCTCTAAAGAACAGAGTCCACGTTTGTAGAAAGCGGCAAAGAAAACTAAAAGAACCTTCATTGAAGGTGTAACTGAAGAGGTCATTTCTTCTAACTTACAAGAAAGGAAAAGCTCCTTGCATTTTACAAATTCTGATGCCCAACTTAACAGTAGGCCATACAAAATGGTACAAACCTTAAGTAATTTAATGTCACAGTAAGAAAAAAAGAACATTAGTTTTCACATCTTTGAAATCTGAACCAACAGAAAATAAGAGGCCCTTCTTTTTCACTTCCAAATAGTTTCTCATCCTTTTGGGGAAACAGGCTAAAATCAATAAAACATTCTCCTCCCTTTCATTGCCATTTCTCAAAAACACTGAATTAACTGTCAATTCTCTTACTGAAACATAAGCCACTTCTATTTCCTACAGCATTTGGAAGGCATAAAATGCAGCTGCCGCTTATTTTATTTTTTTGAGATGGAGTTTCACTCTGTTGCCCAGGATGGAGTGCAATGATATGATCTTGGCTCACTGCAATCTCTGCCTCCTGGGTTCAAGCAATTCTCCCACCTCAGCCTCCTGAGTAGCTTGGATTATAGGCGTGCGCCACCACGCCCAGCTAATTTTTTGTATTTTTAGTAGAAAGTGTTTCTCCATGGTCAGGTTGGTCTCAAACTCCTGACCTCAGAGGATGTGCCCACCTCAGCCTCTCAAAGTGCCGGGATTACAAGCATGAGCCACCGCGCCCGACTTTTAAAGTATTTTTTTTTTTTAAGAGAAATTCTTGCTCTGTTGCCCAAGGCTGGAGTGCAGTGGCACAATATTGACTCACTGCAACCTCCGCCTCCTGAGTAGCTGGGATTACAGGTATATCCAGCTAATTTTTTGTATTTTTGGTAGAGATAGGGTTTTGCCATGTTGGTCAGGCTGGTCTTGAACTCCTGGCCTCAAGTGTTGGGACTTGCAGGCGTGAGCCACGATACTGGGTCCTGCTTTTTGTTTTGTCTCTGAACAACTGGAATTCCTAACTAAATAAATCTATATATAACTACTTTACAATACGAAAAAAAGAAAATGCTTTCTTAAGAATCAGGGTAGGTCGGGCACGATGGCTCATGCCTGTAATCCCAGGACTTTGGAGGCCAAGGCAGGAGGATCACCTGAGGGCACAAGTTCGAGACCAGCCTGGTCAACATGGTGAAACCCTGACTTTACTCACAATACAAAAATTAGCCAGGCATGGTGGTGCACATCTGTAATCCCAGCTACTAGGGAGGCTGAGGCAGGAGAATTGCTTGAACCCGGGAAGC